CCTTCAAATCCGCAGTGTGGAACCCATCTTCTCGTTCATGTATCAATCCGCGTGCAAAGATGTTCGAGGGGGCCTCAAGCAAGCTATCTACGAGCTGCCCGACTCTTGATTTTTGTTGGTCCATTTTAGTCTTCACACCTCAAGTCGACACCCTTAGCAGGAGAATTCATCTGCCTCGAAGAGAGCGGACAGAACCTGTGCAGAAAGAATTGCTGGGTCCAAGGGTCGCTTCTGGGGCGAAGCCTGTAAAAACGGCTTGGAAGGCTTTGGTGAATTGCTTGGCTGGGGGGACCGTAAACTTGATCGAACCTTCGCATATAGGCTTCAGAGATACTGAGCTATGTATGGCCCTTGCTTCTCCCCTGTGGTTTGCCGGTCTCTCAAATAAGCAGACACATGCGACGTCCTTCACTCCACGGTGGTCCTGCGCCCAGCCAGACCTTCAAAGCCAGGCCCTCCGAAACAGCAAACCTGAATTCTGTGGCTCTCCTTCGCGACTCCTCGGAGTACCCTCAAAAATCCTAAATCCTCAACATCTATTATCATGAAACTCCAACATCCGAATACGGCCTACTGTAAATGATCTCTGAACATCTTTAAACAGCTGAAAGCCAGCCATGAAGACGTTTGGCCTTCAAGCGCTGACTGCGTTTCGGTTATGTTCGGGGCTTAGGCGACTCCTACGATTTAGTTATATATTGGTCTTTGGCGTTCAGGGCTGAGGGCTTGCACAACGTCCTCCCCCACGGTCAAAGGAACCATCCATTTCGACTCCCTCCCCACCCCAACCCCCCCCCCCCCCCCCCCCTCCCCCGGCCCCTAAGCACAGGAGACTATCTCGCGCCGTCATCTCCAAAGCGTCTTATCCCTGTCATCCCAAAGCCCTACCCGGTGAACATCCCGAACATGCCAATCCTCCAAGCCCAAACCTCCGGCTGCCTCGAACTCCCAACTCCACGCGCCTCGAGTGCGGCTATTTGGGCGTCTGGCCGCTGTGCCGCGCGAAGTGCGGCCATGGCCGCCGTGATCACCGCGACGGCCTGGAAGAGATGCCATTTAAAGGGCTCGCCGATGCTTAAAGGGCAAAGGGCTGGAACATGGAACCCTGGGTCTAGACTGCGGGGTCTCTCTTCTACTCTATAGACATGTGCTGTGACCAGAACTTTGGCTGGAGTATCAAAATCGATGGAACCTCGTGGGTTGATATGGGGTGATTTTGTAGTCGGGAAATGACAGGGCAAGTTCATGATGTGGGGTCTCCGCGGGAGCTGATGGCGATGCCAGGAATGGGCCTGCCATGTTTGCAACCCTGATCCCTGAACCGTGAATGTGTTGTGCGTTCTTTCGTCTGGTAGGCCTAGAGGACTGTGATCGAAGTCGCTCTGCTTGTAATCCCAGATTGTCTTGGGCTGTTCCTGCGAAGTATGCTATAATCACCCCTTCAAGGAATTGCATCATACATATCATACTCTGCTTTGTTACCTCTGGACCCCCGCTGCAAGACCCAATGCTGCCTCCTTGTCGGAACAAGGCAGGATGGTCAGCAAACTGGCCAGCATGAAGCAATTCGAGGCTCAATAGGGTGCATCAACGGTATCAGAGAGACGACTATGCCTCACTCCATGTTGCCTTACGATGCACAGCAAGTTGACCAAACACAAGCTAATGCCACACGTACTCCGTTCGACATCCACAGGATCCCACGTGCAGATCTGGAACGGACCAGGCCCCTCCGTGCTGAACTTCAGCTGCTTACGAAGAAATCCTTTAGCCCGCTTTCGCTAGGATCTCCGGCCTCAACCGCCGTAACGAGGGAGAGGGGGGGAAGACTGCGGGCGGGTCGCCTTTCCACCAAGCGCAAGGCTGACCACAGTACCACCTCCGGGTCGCTGTCACCTCTGCCATCTGATCGGCTTTGGATGGCTTTAGACTTATAGTTGAGGCTTCGCGAGCTGAGAACCAGGAAAGTCATCGGAAACGGCACACCGAGAATGCGCCCCAGAGCCAATCCATCCAAGAGGAGAGCCCGTGGATACCATAAGCCACGGCCGTTGATCTACAGTTTTGAAGAGACTATTTCGAAAACATTGCGCCGGCGCAAGCCCCAAGCAGTGATGACAAGCCGATCCGCATAGCCACGCTCCGAACTTACTGAGGCAATGCCACGACGAGGGGCCACCTTCCAACATCTAAGCAGAAGACAAAACCGGCCACGGGCACGGGCTTGGCAACCTAATCCAGCGTCACGGGTCAAAGTGAGCACTTCGGAATGTTTCAACTGCTTGGGTAACAATCTCTGGCCCTAACCTGTAAGTCAACCCAAACAAAGCCTGTCCAAAATGTCGTATGTCTTACATGACGCCGTATCTACAGCAGCCCCTCTTCGGGCCTTCTGCCCCGTCGGCGCCCTCCTGACAGCAGAAGGACCACATGCCGAAGTAGCTTCCAGCCTAGATCGCATGCAGCCTGAATATTGGGACAAACGGAACGACTTCGAAACCCCAAACACTAGAAGCTGTATTTGCCTAATTACACTGACCTACTCTCCTCAGCCTCATCCCGATGAATCTCAGGGTGCAAAGCTCCAAAGCCCTTCAGGCTTCCCATCAGGGATTTGTAGATCTTGTCTGCGGGGTACCAGTACTGAAGAGGTCGGCTGGGGGGGACCTCGAGTTGAAAAAGCTTTTTGACCCTGGGCCTCGATGACGGTCGCCAGCTCCTCACAGCGGTGCACACACCTGATGGGCGAGGGGGGCGGGGAAGGGGGGGTTGGGGGTTGGGAGGGGGACGGGGGAGAAAGGGAGGAAACGGGAAGAGGGAAAGGGGCCGGGAGGTTCATAAGAAACCTGTTCGACAAACCTTATACATATACATGTATGTACGTCAATACGTGCGCGTATATGTACATCTATATTTATGTATACAGTGCCTTCCTTGGAATTCATGTCTCAAAGAACCCCGAATACCAGATTAGCCGTTTCCTTTCTCTGATGCATCTGTCACTCACTAAATGACTTGTGGAGAAGCTTCAGATGACCTGGATTTTGGGTTCACATGGTAAACGACTTTCCTATATAGTTGAACATATAGTTGAACGAACTCATTCTCAAAGTGGCGCTCCCGGACCAGAAGAAGAAATAACCCATTCATCCGATCTACCCTTCCGCCCGGCACTGATTTCCTAAACACAGATAAAGCCACCAGCAAAGGCACTATGTTTGCTCCGTTCTTGCCTGATAAAGGGTAAGTTGAAGATCAGAGTCTATAGGTCAGACGGGTCAGACCGGTCTAACTACATGTCAAGAATGCTGCAGATCTGTAGGTCTGCTGTGGGGATCTGCGGGTGTGCTTAAGATGTTTGGGGGGGAGATATGGCTCAGGCGTCGGGGTTTCGAGCCATGTTCCGGCAAGGCGGAAAAGCAGCCGACGATGTCGACGCTTGGAGTTTTGTTGTTGGGCGGTTTCCCGATGCTTCGGGAACAAGTTTCGCGTGGGTGCCGACGACATGCGACGGGGATTTTTGCAGTGCATCCCTAAGGCCATTCAGGCTCCAAAGTTAAGCAATCAGCAACCGAACCAGCAGAACTGGCGGCCCACGTCCAAGAAGACCTTGGACTAAATAGTCTCCAAACTCAGCTCCCAACCACAACTTCACCTTGACCCAAACCTTCGACTACCCCTCTGCCTCCAAAAGACCAAAGACCTGAAAACGCTGGACCCCGACGAAAGCCTGAACTCGAAAGCATCTAAACTCAAAACCCGAGGCCCTAAACCTTGATCTCTAAACCTCACCCCGAGGAGCTTGCAAGCTGAGAGCCCCGAGTCGGCGGAGAGCTGCGCGGGTCTCCTGAGGCCTCGTGACTCCATTTGCGGGTCATGAGGGCGTGGGGTGGGGCTTGGGGCGTGCCTCAGTCCTGGTGTCTTTTTGAAAAGCAGGCAGCATGATTTTTATATTGTATTATTGAGTCCTTGAAGGATGAAATTATGCACGAAACTCAATAGTTCATTCGCTGACCAACTCGCTTCGCAAAATCACGCACTCACTTCGTTGATTTGTATTTCGCTCGCTCATTACGTTCACTCTCTCACTTATTACCATCACCATAATTTACTCTCATTCAGAGGATGGACGCGAGGCTGCTTGGAGACAGTCATGTAGTTGTGCGTAGCCTCTTCGGCTTAGAGCGAATTAGATGCCCAGTAAATCCCAAATAACAGAGCCAGCGAAGGTGTTCTTGCAGGGGACCTCCAACCAGAGGGGTCCAAGATCTGTGTGCCAAGAAGATGCATCTCGGCTGCTGTATGTTGGCCCATTACACTTGCTTCTGCGAGCGACATGAGTGTTACACTTTCATCGGCATGGTATACTCCAGTCAATTGACAGGCTTGAGCCCCAAGTTCAGCGCTGGGATTCCACGCGTCTCGGCGGTGGGGCCATCCATCCGTGCCTCTGCAGGTATGCGACATGCGAAGAGGCTGAGCAGCGGCATGCACATGACTATGCGGCTAGCAGGCCCTTTGTACCTGCACGTCTCATGAGCACAACCAAGCGCGACGTAAACCTCTCTGCACCAAGAAGATGAAACGACTTGCAAGGAAATAAGCACTGTGTCATAGCAAGATATGAAAGAATGCATTGTGCAAACAATGAACATCGCTACGATGTACTGTGACAAAGCTCGACTCAGACTACCACACGCGCTGAGGCCTCGAGGACGATGCCCTGCGCAAGGGCGTCGCAGGCGAAGCGCACCTGGGAGTAGCTCTTTTCAAAACAAGGCTGACTTTTGTGGTTTCAAGTTTGGGGCTTTCAGCCAAATCGTTGGACTGCAGCTACCTGCTGCCCTGCCTGTGGCCCTCAATGCGACACGGATCTCAGAAAGCCCAAAACAACCTACGCGAGATGCCAAGATCACGATCCCTTTAGCCGAGCTTTAACAGTCGGGTAAGGGTAAGCATGTGCATCATCGCCCCTTGTTTTGGCCGCCCGTCTCCCGAGATCAACTTTGGACCCATCGCCGCTTCGCGGCATAGGCGAGGTATAGGCCTTCTCCTTGGTCTGGCGATGTACACACATGTGCACGGTGGCGTTCGAATCTGCCAACAACCCTTCAAAACACCGAAGGCCCCTGCACGCAAGCTGCGGTATACTGCGGAGCCTCACTGACCAAGACGATACTGTTCTACACACTTCCTGCCGCTGGTACGTCAGTCTACGTCATCACCCCAAAGCCTTTTGGAGTTCAACCCCCCTTTCACTCCACGCTTGGAAACTCACCGTTGAAACGCTCTAGCCCTGTAGGCGCAACTTCAGGGTCTTGCGGGGCTGGTGCTCGTTCCCAAGCTACACTCTTCCCAGAGTTCTGAACCTTCATCCACAAGAGCCTCGAACCCTAAACCGACCCTTGAGCCCAAATCCTGCAACCCTATATCCCCCCAGTCCAGGATTGCGCCCAGAAGCCCACGAGGAAGGCCAGGATCGTCCCATAGAGCGCAGCGCCACCCATGGACAGGGTCAGGAAAAGCACCAGCGAGGAGAGAAGAACAGGCCCTCGCGTTTGCGGTTGAGGACATGTAGGGTTTATGTAGAGTGTAGAGTTTCATTCGGCGTAGGCACGGTGCACGAATCTCTGCAGGAGGATGCGAAGCCCGAGAGGGAATGAGCAACATGTTACGTGCAGAGGGTTACTTTCCTGGTTACATCAGATCTACGTACAGAAGTGCCGATCTCACCACAGTCAGCTGCGCTTCGGGCACATGAGCATGTTATGGTTTCATCGCTTCGCCATGTTAGGGGCGAGCGTAAAACATGAAGCAAGCACAAACAGGATTGTTGCAAACAGTGTCAACCCCCCGTGTCCTGAGCTCCATAGCAGCACCGCTGCAAATCCTATGGGTAGGAGGAAAGTCTCTGCGTTCCCGTCTGGGGGCGTCACCCACCTGGCGGCGCAACCCTGTAGGCACTTAGGCACACCATGGCTGAAGTGTTAATGTTAACAGAAAGAAGTACTATCGCAACATTCATGACGTCTTTGTTTCTAATGTCTACAGTACCGAAGAATCTTGAACCATTCAAATTAGCCCGTGGAACTGCCTTTCAGTACATCGTTCTGACAGATTTTCCATCTCCGCCAAACTCGCGCACGGGTGTGCCGGCGCGAAGACGAGCTGACAAACAGCAACAACGCAACATTGTGCAAAGATGTGCAATGCGCGAAGCGGCTCGTTATCAGCCAATACTGCCTCCAAGAGCCTGTGAGTCGTGCGCAGAAAACACGGGGTCAGTCACGGGTCGGTCGCAGTCAATCCAGCACCACCGCCTGTGCCTCCGCCCTCGCTGCCCGACGCGCGCGCATGCGCTGGCGCCTCTCCGCTTCCTCCTCCATCTGCTTTTGTTTCAGCTGTTCCTGCTTCTGCTTAAGCTCTTCCGCTTGTTTCAAGAGCTTCGCCTTTCTTTCCAGCCTCACCGCCTCTGCATCAGCTTCGGTTTCTGCGGCAGTGTCCTGGGGCGATGGGGGGGGCCCTGCTTCCTCCTGCTGCGCCTCACTGGCATCGAGCATTTGGGCAATCAGCTCTTGAGCAGCCTCTCGTTTTCGCTTCCGCTCTGCTTCGATGGCAGCAACTTGCCTTTCAGCCACTACCATGTCCTTCTTCGACTGCTCTTCTGCCTCTTTCTTCTTCCGCTCTCGCTCCCGCTCCCTTTCCTTCTCCTTCGCCTCTTCCTCGGCAATGCGGCGCTGCTCGTCTAAGGAGTCCATCGCTTCTTTGCCGGCCTTAACCCGCTCCAGGTCATCGATGATGGCCAGCGCATCGACTCCTCGGTACTTATCCTCGAGCTCATCAACCGCCGTGCGAGGGGCCTCGAGGGCAAGCACTTCATCCGGCGCCCTTAGCGCGTGGAGGCGGTCGGAGCGCATGGCGTCCTTGCTGCCCGTGGCCGTGGTCACCACGCAGGCCTGGTGAGCCTGGATGGTCGCCGCGTTCTGGCGGCGTTCGCGGCAGGCCATGCACTCTGAGTGACTGATGTGGACAATGGCATGGCACTCGGGGCAGTTCTTCTGACCTTGGCAGTACATCTTCTGCGAGGCCAACGGATAGAAGTCGTGGGCTCGCTCGCCCATTGTGTTTATCGTCGGCTTTGGGTGGTTGCAAGTGGCGCAGAACATGTTCTTGCCCAGGTTCCAGTTCCTGCAACCTGGGCAGACGAAGTCGGAAGACTTCCATGAGCGCGGCATGGCGGGGGACAGAGAATGATGCAAGTATATACTTGTGTATACGTACAACAAATATCCAGTCCAGGATAGGGTTTTGGAGTGTTCTCTTGGAGCCTTACAGGTTCTAGGTTACCAACGTCTGACTGCAAGACTATGGCCTGGAGTTTGCAGCCCGGAATTCGACGGAACAGGGAACTGCTTCCAGACGCTGCTCATGAGGGCTAAGAGTTCCACAAAGGGAATCCGCTTGTTGCCCCTTGTCTCCCTTCCGTTTCGCGAAGCCACGCATTCTGCGAGCACATCTTATACTTTAATGTGAAGGTCTAGGTAGAAGCATCACTATGCTGGAAGGCCAAAACGATCGACAGTCTACGTGGATCCATGGCAAGGCCTGAAGCGGACCCAGGTGGCAAATTGGATGATGAAGCTGACCTCCGCTGCACCACCATCAAATGTGGCATAAGTTGATTGGTCAAATGGCGTGTGCACATGAGCAAAACAGGAATAACCTCCGAATGATGGCTGCAACCCCACACAGTGCCTTCAGTCCCTCTCTTGGGAAAAGTCTTCTAGCAAAAGGCAGGATGTCTGACACGAGCTGCTTCACTGTCTGAACCACTTCAGGCAAGAGGCGCAGTCGAAAATGACTGTGGCCGCGATAAGCTCCACGAAATGCCATTGAAGCGTTGAGGTCAGCACAAGCCCAAACAGCACCTAGCAAGATAAAGCATCTAGCCAACAGCATGAAGGCATTTCAACACTGCTTCCCACAAGCACAGAGGCACAGGAGTTCTCGCTCGCCTACGACTTCGGAGATCCGATGGAGTCTAGTCAGTGACATGCAGTATGGCAGCAGCCATGTCTACAAGCAGCAGTTTTGGAAAATGAGAAACATCTGTGGAGTCTTGAAATCTCATGGTGCCTCACACCTTGCTTGAAACTGAACACAACGGAACCGTCGCAAATCTTGGGAAGCTTCAACTACAGTCAATTTCCTCCCCGCTGCCAGCACCCTTCACAGCCTTTCACGCTAGACACTGATGTATACTTTCGCATCACGCCAGGCACGATTCACTACTACTGTCACGACTGCTTCAGAAGAGTCTCTGTGCCAACGTGTGGCGTCTGCAGCTTTGGATGCACGGTCCCGAGGAAGGCAGGAACCTTGGCTGGCAAATTGGAGGTCGTCGGCTCTTGCTTAAAAATGTAACAAGGAGTTGGTCCAGGCTTCACAGTTGTTCAGTTGTCCAGCCTTGCGCTTGTACGACTTCTTCGCTTTGGCGGGTTCGCCAAAATTTACCGTTTGCGTCTTGACACCGGATCGTGCTTAACACGGCATGACAAAACGATTGTACAGTTACCGCCCAAACGAAACCATGTACCTATGGTATGTCAAAGTGTCGAACCCTGCCAAAGCAATGGTTCTGCACTTGTTGTCTGGGTGTAAGGAACCCTAAACCCTAAACCCTAAACCCTAAACCCTAAACACCTAAGATTCAGTCCTGCCGCTGGCTGCCCAGGTTGCTCGGCCATGCAGATGATCTCACGAACTGAGGTGCACAGCAAGGCATTCAACCTTGGATGTTCTCTTCCCAGAATGGGGAATCGTGGGTCTTTGTTGTCAAAGAACTCCCTAACTGCTAATTGGGCGGGGGCACTGGCAGGATCAGACTACGCTCCGAGGTCTGCAGGGCTTCGGGTGAAGGCTACGGCTAAGAGCCAAAAGGTGTTACAATGTCTACATGGCAGGTGGTTAAGCTGGGACTCTAGTATCTCGACCTTGGGCGGCATACGTCACAATGGCACGTTCGACACATGCTCGCTTGAGTCTTTTCAGCATCGCGCACAGTTTCAGCCATCGCTCTTCATGGCAATTTGGACACAGATGACATGGCAAGGCTTCACGTGGATGTTGGGGGCAATTGAAATCCTTCAAGCTGCCGCTCTAGGCTGGGGGGGGGTCATGCGTCTTGCGGCTGGTGAGGGCAAATTTTCTCCGGCACCCTATTCTCGAATGAGACCAACAATGCAGCAGCTCTGCTTTTTGCGTATTGTTCCTGAACTCCAGCCTCCTCCATTGGATGGCATCGGCTTACGGGATAGTCGCATCTTGCTGCTCACGGCGGGCTTGGCTTTTTGCACAAATTCAATCTGCTAGAAAGCATTTTTTCGACCAACGAGAATGAAGCCGACGCTGCGCGTCCCTGCATTTTGAACCCGGGCTTCACATCTTCTTGACAAAGTTTTTCAATACCGGGACGTGTAGCCTCGATTCGGTGGGGAGGGGGGTTTTCGGATGGCATGTGGTGTAGGATCTTGCAACTCTGCTTCCCAAGTTCAAGTTGAACTCTGGACGAGTCCCTGCACCAATGAGAGCCAATGCGGGCGCAGATCCCATTCTTGCAAAGAACTGCGCCCCGTTCAATTCCTTCAATATTCCTTCAGCCGGCCTAACACTGGATTTTTTGCCATGTGGCTGCGCCACGGAGGATGCGAAGCCAGCTAAGCTCAGGGCCTGCGACAAGACAAGGCCCTTGCAAAGGATCAATATCTAGTTTGGAACTGGCACGACTCCGTGTGGGACTTTGGGCTTCCGGGGTTTCCAGGTTTAAATAGAGTGTGAGATTCGGTTGTCTCCGGGCTTCTGTATGCAGGGTCCAGATTTGATTTCAGGGGAATGTCCATTCTAGGATAACTACATCAGTCAGGTCGTTAAGGCTGAAAGCTCTAAGAGCTTGTAGCTTGGAAGCAAATATCTTGTATATCCTAGTGGGCCCCTCACGGGGAGGAATTAATAACCCAAGCCAAAACCGGACAAGCAGCTACAGTACCGAGCCGAGGCACAAAGCCCAAAGGGGCACCGCCAAGGCGTTCACCTGACAACTTCCCCCACACGTTAGAATATATCATAATTGCAGGAGCAAGCGCCGCATGGCATTGCGTAGCGCTCATCCGCACTAGTCTGCCAAGACACCGACCGTGGCGAGGAAGCCTGAAAAAGCTTGCAGGTGGGGGAAGCGCGGATGCAGGGTGGTTTAGGCTGCGCGCACGCTGAAGCCTCGAGCCCCTGAAAAAAGTCAAATCTACGGATGCTGTCTGCCCGGTAGCATGAAAGTTTCCAGAGGGGCTGGGGGTGGTCCAGGCTTCGCTGCAAGAAGGGCCAATGACTCTCAAAATCCAGGCGGCCATCATGCCACCGCTGCGGGGCCGGGTCTACAGCCACACCCACGGACAGGGGCAGGACCTGCTCTGCTGAACTCGGCACTCTGCCCTCTAAAGGCTTATAGGGATTCGGGAGTGAGTGCCGTTGCCTGTGCTAGAACGTGCTTTGGACTGCGCATTCCTAGACCTCGCATCAAGCTGCAACAAGGACAGCCGTGAGTCTTACTTACACAATAGCGGCGAAGTCTTGATAATTTCGGGGCTTGCTTCCGATCAGATTTGTCACTCCAAACTCCAAAATTCCATAAGGCACTGAGGCCCTGCCGAGAGCTAGATGAGGCCAGGTAGCGTAAAGTGCCGTGACCAAGGCCACAGAAATCCCAAGCCTGGGAAAAAGGCTGGTTCGCAATACTTCGTAATCAAGCTTCGCATGGGCTCAGGCTTGAGGCAATCTACCCCGAAAGCCCTCCTTGATTGCTCCGGTGCAAGCTTCCCATCTCGACTTGAGTTAGGGGTGCATAATGGGGGGAGCCCTTCCACACGAGGTGAAAGAATAGGAAGCCCAAAGCTTCAAAAATTCTCTTGCTGAGTCTTCTAAGTCAGGCACCCCTGTGATGGTGCAGCCGAGCTTCGCTCTGGGATAAATCTTCGCGGGCGCGTGCACCTGCAAAGGGAACAAGCCTGTGCGAAAGTTAGTTGCTTTCAAAGGTCGACAATTCTCTAAGTGTCGGGCTTGTGGCGATTAAACATTTGGAGAGCATGAACACATCAGTTCCGCTTGACTTGGGCTTGGCGGATTTGGTGTTTCAGAGGTTCCACAGCATCACTATACCCCCTGCGATCATGGAAATACACCGGTAGCTTATTTAACAATGGTTTTTTTGGCTTAGCCCCTTATACGCACAAATGGCCTCAGCTGCAGACGCACCGGCGTCATCAAAGCCTGCGATCGGCTCCAGTGCTGCTTTGGCCGGGCCGGGGGTTCAGGCCCTTGGAGGGTTCAGGGTTCAGAGAGTCTAGAGAGTCGTTCACGGCACGTGGTCGATGGGATAGAAATCCTGGAGAGCAGAGCCTTAAGAAGATGACGAAAAACAAAAGTCATCGCACCATTGACAACACTACCAGAGACAGACTCCACGTTGACTCTTCTGGCAATGGCTTTAAGAGGCTTTTAGGGTCGCATTCCAAGTCACCCCAACTCCTGTCCTTCAGAGGAGGGCAGAGATGCATTGTTTATTGCAGCTCTCAGCTTATCTGCAGGAGCAAATCTCTCATGCTCAGTTGCCCGAAGCTCGGAGAAGCTACACAGTGCATCTTTTCAGGTCCAGCAGGAACAAGCCTGATGTATTCCACATCAACGATGTCAGAAAGTGCAGCCACATCACCTGGCAAGCGGTCTACGTGCGTCCAAGCATGTTTAAAATTGGGGGACTTCAGGGATCTTGCGTTCACAGGCGTTGCGTTTCAAAGGCATAGGCTCCATCCCCGATTTCCGATCAGAAGGTATCCGAAGAACGCCGCAACCCTCGTCTGAATCTAGCGTGACCCATGCACCCGCGAGAAAGCTCCAAAGCACGACTGTGACATATCCAAGTGAAGCTGGTGGCACCTCCGGGTAGTGGACATCTGTCGGAAAACCTCCCAGCTCCGGGGTGCCGATCCTCTCGTCGTTGAGGGCTACTATATGACACTGTATGAACTGCGTGAGATCTCCAGGAAAGATTCGGAAAGGACACGCGCGCTCCATGCCGCCAAGGGCCCAATAGACTTCAATGTGGTGCAACTCCGTTAGCTGCTAGGGTCTCTCTTCGGAAACTCGAGGTTCGCTCTGAGCAAGCCAAACCCAATGCCCCAGAAATTCCACTGAATCGAACGGTTCCACCTCATTAAGCACCAGGTTATTGACCCTCGACCACTCCTGATCATGTCCTAATCAAAAGGGCTGAGCAGCCCTGAGCCCTTGAGGCCGAATCTCAGCAAGTTGGAGGGATGTGGCTTTTCGGGTGGTCTTACAGCCCTCGTCCTTGCCTCACAACCTGACACCCGACTCCCCATCTCCCCCCTCTCCCCCATCTTCCCCAACTCCCTCACGCCAAGCCGCAGAACGAGGAGTACGGCAGGTAAGCACACGATGATGCACAGGACGTAGGAGACGCCACCGACCTGGGTTTGAGCGTTGGGGTCTCCAGCGGCCGAGCACTGGGGATCCGAGCACTTTCAGTGGAGAAGTCATATAGTATGGAAAGCACGACCAAAGCTGATAAATTGATCGGGGTAGCATGGGCAGCCGAGCCGAGGTGCCTTTTCGTGCTTTTTGCTGAAGCGAGCCACTTGTCGTCAAACGATTTCGACAACTTAGGACATAACGCTTTTGGGTCTCGACTGCATTCAAACCCTACTTGCTGCCAGGATGCAATCTCCACTCCGGCAACATTGGTCACTACTGCCTCAGTTGGGCAACGGACTCAGCTGCTGGTTGTTCAGTCTGCACGAGCGACCTGATTTACATCGAGATTCCTACCATGTTTCAAGTGCCACCGCTGTTGCCGCTGCCACCAGTGCGAAGCTGGTCCACCAGCGCTGGGTAGACGAGAGCGGCATACCTTCTGAAATGCTAAGCTCGACAATAGTCTATTCTATAGCAGCTATAGCTTCAAGACAAGCCCCGCACAGTCCTAGGACACTGTACCTCACTAGCAACTCTCGCACATGCCGAAAGTCTGCAGCTGCATGCCTATCAGCACCTCGAGGTAGCCCAAGGCCATTGCAGGCAGTGTGGCCACGTCCTTGGCATAGCGAACGTTGCTTGAGCACGCTTGCGTCAAGTCCTGATGAAAGTTGTTGGCTTGAAGTGCAGAAAGAGCGCTGGTCACAGGTAGCCATCACAAGAATTGGAATGCTCAGCCGAGACGGGTTAACTACTCGGCATCCAACGACGTAACCTAAAACCTTCGCAGCCGTGAAGAGGTTGAACCAATTTGAACCAGCACGAGCTTCGAAGACGTTGCTGACCGCGTTGAACCATCCTGGACGGGGATCCGTTTTGTGAGGCCGAGTTCCCCTCAAGACTCAAACCTGGGATTAGGACGGCCATGGCAAGAGTCTAATGGGATGAGCTTCGGCAACAGCAGCAGACTCAGTAGACACAGAGAGATCGAGAGGAGAGACGGTGTGTGCAGTGCGGCTTATTCAAAATGACCGGTGTGTTCGGGCCGTTAGGGACTTCGATCGTCAAGTGCTGTGGCTTGCTGGAATGCCATCTAAGCTGCCGTTCATCCAGCCAATCCAAGGACCCCAGCATTTGTGCACAAAGTGGATTTTCCCACCTGCGACCAGTCAGGTGCTTGAAATCTTGCGTCCCGATGGCGGTAACCGTAGCTCATTCTTGCTGTGGGGCACCTTCTCCACTACCCCTCTCCCTGCGACTAAACCTTAAAACCCTGCTCGGTGCATCCCTGTTGAGGGCACTTCGACATGTGGAGTCTAGGGTCCAAGCCGACATGGGGGTCGTGGCTGCAGAGCTCTGCGGTCATGACCTGATCTTAGGCTTCTATGGGTCCCAGAGGTGGTCGAGAGGGCCAACCTACAGAGTTCGGGAGCATCAGGTGCTCTGGGTTTGGTGCGCTTTACGGAGTACTGTTTTTCGTGAAACATGCTGCGAAACTATCCTTGCTGAGGAAGGCCCCTCCTTCGTGATGAAATGTGCCGAGCAATCTCTATGTAGGCGGTCGAGCCGGTGTGGCCCTTATAATATGAATAATATGAATAGTCTGATAATATATGAACAGTATGAAATATGTGATTGATATGAATAGTGTGCATCATGTGAATAGTCAGAATAGTACGAACATTTTTCACATTCTTTCACAATATGCGTGAAAGATGTTGAGCTTTTGTGTTTAAGGTTTGGGCTCGCTGGATCGTGCTTGCGACTCTTTAGAGGAAGGCCATGCAACAATGAGCCCGTTGCTGCACGGCTTGGGAACGTTTGGGGCCATGAAGAATCTTGACTTGAGGTCTCGACTTCAAATCCTGAACCGTCAGCAACAAAATCCTACATCCGAAGCTTCGGGAACCTGAGCCCTTCCACTAAATTGAGTAACAATATCGACTGGCTTTTAACTTATGCATGCAATGAGATTCCGCACTAGAACTTTTTGAATCATGCCCTTGAACACTCATGTCCCCTAATTAAGAGTAAGCAGAACGGAAGCTCAACTATGAAACTGACATGATGATACAGCATACATCAGTACTGGAAATAGGGCCGAGCGGAATGATTTCTTTTATCATAGAACTTGGACTGCCAACAAATATAACGACGCAAATTAGCTTTCTGCTTCGAGTGTCGAACTTTAACACATAGTTCGGGAAATATACCGGACCTCCAGGTATGTAATTAACATATTCATACTATTTGCCTGTTTTCACCGTGGCAGGGAACCACAATTAAGGTTGAGTTCTACTCATTGCTGTTCAACGAATATGATGAGTCCTGAGCAGGCATTTTATATGTCTGCACATGTTGTTTGTTTATAAACAAACTTACAAACAAATATACAAACTCCCAGACTTCAGAAACGAAGTTGGTCCAAGAATCTGCGATGGGCAAGGACCAGATCAGCGGGATGAACAGGAAGCCCAAGATTGCCAGAAAGGGCCCACCTCTGACAACGACACTTTAGGTTTGGGGCCCCTCAAAATCCCTGAACCCCCAAACTCACAAAGCAGACGTGTTGCACCCGGCGCGGCCTTTGCGGACGACAGGTTCGGCACCGTAGGGACCCCCCGCAACTTCGAAGAATATCATGCCCACCTCTGCGATCTGGCTTCGGCCAGTTCAGACTTAAAGGCATTCAACACCCAGAGGCTATTCTTGAGGTGAACTTCAGGATACTTACATGTTTCTGACATTCAGCACAGCGCATGGGTAGGTGCAAGCATGTGCCCGCATGTGCTATTCAACGAATGAATGCAGAACCTGCCCACAGCAATACAAGGCTCGAACGTGAGGGCATCGAGTAACAAGCGCAAGGCCGTGCAGCTTTGAAAGTGGACAACCTTCTGCAGCCGGATGTCCAATGCACGAGTTCCGAGAGCTTCTCGGAGAGCCGGCTTGGCATGTCCAAGGAGCCTTACGATTCTGACAGCTACATCTTCTTACTGCTGCTGTTGCGTGTCAGCTACGTCGAGGTCTTCTGGGGCCCCATGCGAAAGCTACAGAGTTCAGCATGTGTAGCTTCAGCTGACCGAGATGCTGACGTCCGAGCCCCAAAGACAAGACAGGCTCCATCCAACATTGTGAAGGACTGTAGAGGCATAGAATTTGACCACGAAGCCCAAGCCTCAAAACCTTGCATTCTCAACACGAGTAGCGCAGTATGGCCAGTATGGCGGTGTGTGAGTCTTGCTCGAGTACCACATGCGGGCCAAATGTGCAAGGAGTCTTCTCAACCTGCATTGGAATGTGGTCACCCTGAGCGCGAAAAAGAGGCACACACACACACACGAAGAGCAGGCGTGAAGAAGACATGCGTGCAATGATCTACGGAGGACCTCAATCAATAAGCTGGAACACCAACGCGGTTGCACGTCGATTTTCCAAGCAGTGGAGCCGGTGGGACACAAACTCGTCATTGCAGATCGTGGTTAAAGTGGTGAGCACTAAGCATGCTTGACGTGAAGGTTTACAATCGACACACCTGGCGACGTCGAATCTTCCACAACCCCAAAGAAGGACCAGGAGCCGTCAACCCTGCCAGCAACTACTGGCAGTCTTGGTACAGTACTGTCCGAGCATGCCACTCTGGCAGGCAAGTTCAGCAGAGAATTTCTTGGCTGCATCCGAGGCACGGTGTGCCACCACCGTTGGAGATGGACGTCTTCATACTACGAATCTAACTTGTCGGGCACATGGTGCGACTACTTGTTGGGCTTTTGCTACCTTTGTACCAGTAGTGCTTGGAGCACATGTCCGCCACTTGTTTGCTTCCCTGACTCTCCACTATCCCTGAGCCTTGTTTCGGGGGGGGGGAGCACGCCTAGCATGCAAGGGACCAACGTTGACTGTGAAGAATGTCCCGCAACTTGATTATAGCGAGCAAAAGAGAGAATCTGCAAAGCGGTACGAACGCCGAAGCGGCCAGCGAAAAAACAGTACACTCCTCCTTGAGATTGGTGCTTCTGATCAGGAACACCAGCCTGCTGAGCAGGCCCAGCCAGTGACAGCTAGGATCCACTTGCCCGTACTTGACACCGAAATTCCCGGTATCCGATTGTAGAGTCAATGTAGAGGTTGAACCCGCAAACGTGGAAAAAAAAAGTCCCCAGATCCCCCCAACCCAAGGAAGGCTGGCGTAGATGCCCTAAACCTCTCAATTGCGCAGATGGTGCACTTAAGTGACTTAGGGATGATATCCGCCGCGCAGACGGATCTGCAGGTCCCATTCGCCTCCAACAAAATCAACAAAGTCAAGCCTTTGGACAACGAGGGCGAGTCCCCGACGGCATCCCACCGTAGGGAATTCTCCATTATGAAGACGTAGCGCCTCATCTTTGAAAAGGGCTTGTGTTGTTTGAGTGCAGGATCATAAGGTTCAAAGCTTGCGGAAGACAATGTGGGATGCGGGACGAATGCACGAAAAGGACTTTTGTCTAGAGGAACGACGCTTGTTGATGGCTTGAGCGGCCTGTAGATCCGGTATGCTTTGAAAACCATGGTCACTTGCTGGAATAGCTAGTGGCGAACCTGGCCTAAACCCGAACACCCCAAGCCAAACCTCGTCCAGCTCTGTACTGGAGGTGTGCTGAGGCCTCGGCTCCACTACCTCTGGATTCCACAACACGGTCCTGGGATGCAATCGGGTCTTAGTTCATGTGCAAAGTCAATAGGCTAATCGAGTGTACATTGTTCATCAGAAGCCAGAGAACGGTTCCACAAATATTCCACTCTCTCGGCACCCCACGTGGGAGCTTCGGTGCAGCACAGCCTGGTGAAAGCATCAAAGCACTCCAAGAGCACTGTGGTTTCTACGAGCAGGACTTCGCAAATCCGCAGACAACTGACGATCTAGAAGCGTAACTGAAGCGACAACATATCTTGATTTGTGGACATTGAAGTTATCCGATGTCATGATCCACCTGCTCAGGCAGATACCATTTCCATTCCTAACCATGCACCACCCCCTAACAGCCAAACCACAACAACCTATACCTCAACCTCCAACCCACCGAAAAACCCAACTCAAGACAAACATGATGAAAACCATACTTTGGAACCCCGCATACCCCCTAAAACTTGCACACTCAACCCCATAGCATGCCGCACCCTATAGAAAACCCATAACACCCACCCCGAAACTCTTAACAGCAGAAAATGCAAATGGACTTCTCCAACAAAATATCTTTAACCGGAAAAAGGTTTAGGAATACGGTTGTAACCATAGTGTACCTATAAGGTTTTCCATCGGGTGGCATGCTGTATGCTTGAGTTTGCTATCTTCTAAGGGCGGTTTGCGTGGTTCTATCGTATGGGTTGCATCATTTGGTTCTTGGGTTGGGGTCTTTCGGCGCGTTGGAGGTTGAGGCATAAGTTGTTATGGTTTGGGTGCTAGGGGGTGGCGCATGGTCAGAAAACGGAGATGGTATCTGCTAACTCTTTTTGTCTACTCTTTTGGGAGCCATCTCAACACTGGCTGGAGCTGCAAGCTCTGCATGCATCTTTATTCGCCTCTGCGCAAACCCACGAGCACACTCTCAGCCCAGGCGCAAGGCAAAAACAATGCGAAGAGCCTTGCGGGCAGGAAGGAGCACACGGTTCGCCCTTCGCTCCAACGTTGTCGGGACTCCAACCCCACAAGCCAGGACCCCTTTGCAAACTCACCAATGATAAGTATCAACAGTTTGTCAGCGGGCACATCTCGCGTCCTGCCTCGAATTCAAGGAACAGAAGAGAAACTGCAAGAGGTCCCCGGATGTGTACATACAGTCATCGTTGGAGTCTACCCATCTGCCACTCTGTGACCAAGGTGCCGAAGCAACAAACCACACCCTCAGTCCAAATACCGCAAAATGACTGTGCAGAGCCAGCCTGCGCTGCCACAGCACCGTCAGGGGTAGAGAGAATTCTGGCGCAGCATTTTTGCAGCTTTTAGCGAACTGCAGCTTTGGGTTGCTCGTGGCTTTGAGGAAATGGGGTATTGAGTGTATGCTTAGGATTGAATATGCAGCGGCGGTCTGGAGCTCCCCCTTCAATCAAAAAGGATTCCTCGCCACGTCCCAGTTTTCCTTGACATGTTCTAGTTCTGAAACCATGAAGGCCTCACAAACCAAAATTCCACCAACATTTGTAACAGTGGTAGCAACGAGGCCAAAACAGATTGTGTCAAGCAATGTCGAATCAAAGGGCCAGTAGGATGGCCGTGCATTTGGAGCTTGAGAAGCGTTTTGGATTTTAGGGCCTTGGGGACTTGACATTTTGAGACCCCAGACCTCAAGCTCTTTGCCCGCAGTCCTCCCATCACAGCTGTCCAGAACAAATGCAGCTCGGAAAGGCAACGTTGCAAAAACCCCGACCCTTGAAACAACAACAGGCATGTTCCACGAGCTCTTTGCGACGGGGGCTGTCTGCAGAGGGGGCAGAGAAGTAAGGATTCAGTCGGAACAATTTAGCAAAGAAAGGGTTTCAATTCAACAGGTAAACCACCGGCTTGGTGCCAAGCTTTGTTGCAGCTCGCGCGATTTTCCCCACATCTGCAAGCCTGAGCCGCCAAGGAGCGAAGCCCACCATACAGTTCCGTTGTTTCGGACTGAAAGCCACGCTTGAGCGTTCACATACTCGCTCGAAGGATGGTCGAATTTTTTGCAACCCGACTCTTGATAGGTTTCGCTGGTGTGAAGAAAGATAGCTGCCCAAAACCAAGCAGCTCAACTGTGCATTCTGAACTCCAGGGGCCGGTGCTCGTAGGGAGGCTTTGCTACCCACTGTGAGCAGACCTTGTGCAGGGTGCGCAATGGGGTGGACCAATCAACGAATATCAATAATCCACTCTTCAAGTTTGTGGACTTAAGCCACAAGGCTGAACAAAACTCTGAACAACCACTTCGGCTTGTCAACGTTGGGCGCAAACAACGTGCATGGATGTTCTGGCTCAAGCAAAACATGCTGAACAGGCAAACGTGCTGTCATGCAATGCAAGGCAATGCAGATATTAGTCGTACCACGGTTTGACAGTTCAACGCCCGTCACACTAAGAGCACAGCACGCTGGCAACCGAGACTGTCACCGAAATGCAAATACAGCGCCGAGCAAAAAACCCTCAACAGTAGCCTCCGCGAAACACCCTCCAAACCCTCACCTCCGCCCCATAGTGCCACCTGTTGCGTTACCTCCGGGCCTCAATAATCCTAGTTAGGCATGTTGGAAGGGGCATAGATGTCGGTGTCGGGCCAAGCCAATCGTGGGCTTGTGGCTCATGTTTCCACAGGGGTTGAAGGGTGTAAAAACTGCACGTAGGGTTTTAGGGTATGGTTGAGTCGGCAGCTTGTGGGCTGGGAATCCCCAAAAGGTTGGAATCTGTTTCTGCTTTTAACAAAAATAACAAAATCTGCGAACAGAAGCTGCAAAAATCTGTGCTGCGTTGTGGAAACTGCCCCACCGAACACTGAGCCTACACAACTTGGCCAAGCAAACCTTCAGGGTCCATATACCTACAAAGTATAAATGTGGGCCCTAAAGGTACTATATAGGAACCCTTTGCCTTTCTTTTGGTAGGTTACCTCAGAATCCTATTACGGGCTTTATAGAAATAACCTAGATCTTGCATGACTTCGCAGCCAACGTTTTTACCAGGCGCGTAACACCGGGAGACAAAATGTCGAAATTCCAGGAGGCTACAGCCTCGGACATGACGTCCTGAAATCAGAACAGGCTAAAGTGGCATGCGTGCAAAACTTAACATCGCATGCGAGTAGTTGACACGCGTGCAAGTTCGACTCGGCACGCGGACGCGAGGTGAGGTCCTGCAAGGATGCGCTGTCGAGGTCACGCAAGACATTGTAAAGATTCTCAAGAGGCAGTTGCCAAAAATCAGGCTTGTTCAACGTAGGTTGAAGCTGATTCTGTCAAACCCTGTTTGAGCTCTATACTATCGTTTCTGACCGTTGCGTCAACATCCCTCCATCTTCAGTTCACGACGCTGGTCCTGCCTCATGGATATCAATCTGCACAGATTGCAGTGGGCCGTGGGCGTCAAAAGCAAGCAGAGAAACTCAAGCTAGCTAAAAAAAGAGGCCAACGAAAGCTAGCGGGCTTTCAAATAGTCCTCTTGGTCACTAGGCTGAGAAACATGGGTACATTGTACAAGATGCCATGCACGGAAAGGCCATTTTTTTGGTCCAGCTGGACGAGCAAGATGCCCATGTGAAAGGCTTTCATGATTAGCTGTGTTATGCATACTCGTACTATGAATCAAGGAAAGGAGATTCAACGTAAACAACTCGAAATCAACTAGGCTAAGCACATGGATTCATGCACTCGGTGACATGGCATTGCGCATTCTTCATCTCGGCTCTGTGTTTCATGCTTCGCTTCTTCCACCTATCCCAGTGACCTACGCTCCGCTGGAAGTAGCTTCGTGCTCCTGCGTCCCATACCCATGAAGACACCCCAAACCGCAGTTCCTAATCCTACACGGTGCATGCCTGTGCGTTCAGGTACCTTGAATTTTGAAGCCGAACCATCAACCACGGAGATACTGCAACTACCGGAGCCGGAAGGGCCCGGCGTTCGCCACGGCGCCCAGCGCCGCCTCCGCGATGCGGCCCTCGCCCAAGGAGGACGCCTCGTGAGGAACAGGGCTCGGTGTGACGTAAACCGCGGGTAGACCCCCGCTAGGGCCTGTTGTCCGTTGGGGAAGCTGCTTGCTTGACTCATCAGGCACACGACATGCCAGGTCGCACGATGCTTGACACGCCCTTCATGGTCTGCCCTAGCGTTGTCTTTTGTGAAGCTCTTTACATACTCATGCGGAAAGGATGGGCACGAAGCTGAAGGTCTCAAGGGCGCATAATTCACAGCACACATAGCGACCGTTGCAGCTAACCCAGAACCCCCAAAGCCGCAACCCCCTTCCCAACCTCTCAATCCGCTCCCCACCGGCCCACAGCTTGCCTGCAAAAGGATCTCCAGGCCTTGAAAGCCAACGACCGCCTGAGCCGTGGCCTCGTCGACGCAGAGATCCCAGAGGGCCTTAATAAGCGCCCAAAGGACCAAAAAGGATATAGGATGATGTGGGGACAGCTTGGGGTTCAGGTCAGGACCTAGGATGACCTCGGGCTGTTGTGAGCTCTTGCAGCTTGTTGCGCGGCGCTCCTGCTACGGCAGGTCGGAGGTCCTGCAATTCCTGTAATGATTTGGGAGCTTCTCAAAATGATAAGTTATGGGCGCCTGAATGAGCTTGAAACACACCGATGATCCCCTTGACAGGAAAGGAAATCTCAGAGGCTGCCTTCCCTTGACACTACTTTGTCATTAACGCTTCACCGTCAAAAGGTCCGGTGTTAGCCACTTACATGCTTGCACAAAAACTCTGTGCGCGTGGTGTTTTTCCCTTGGACATGACTGGTGTCCCAAACCAGTCGCAGTCTGCGGTGTCAGGTTTAAGCTGTAGACAGAATGTATGGCAAGTTTTGGCTCCTTCTTGTCATGAAAGAAACTAGCTAGGATGGCCTCCAACTGCGATTCGAGCTCTGAGCCAGCCTGCACCAGCAACTGGCAACTACGTCGGAAAGGTGTGCGTTGCGCAAGCCTGGAACACTGGAAGGACCGCATGAAAATCCAAACCCTGAAGGTCAGACACATCAGCGCTCAAGGGAAGTGCAACCTTGTAGGGAGAGCACCGAGCCGCCTACACTTGCTCACTGATTGCCCACTCAGAGGGGCACACGCTAATGTGAAGGAGAAGAGGGAAAACAAGACTTCTGTCCACTCAGATATTGAGCCAACAGGCTCCTACAATGGAGTTACTGTAAAGCGTATCTGCCGCAAGAATATTCCGTCGCCCCGCACCACGATGCCTCCACCTTCTTCAGAATCTCCTGATCCACCACATCGCGCAGGACCTTCTTTTTGGAGACGTGATGTGCCCCTCTACATGGACTCTACATGTGGGGTGCAAATCCTTCAAATAGGCTCTTGCTCGAGCGCAGTAGGAGCCATTTCGTCAAGGTGCAGGTGGATGATCATTGGTGTTTAAGCAACCTCTGTCGAACACATGCACAGGCTACAAGAATTTCGGCTGGGAAGGCATGAATCAGCAAAGCCGGCGCCTTGAGAATGAAGGCCTCTTCCACGTGGCAGGCACCGGTCGTGGCCTCCCGGATCCCGCTCAAAGGGCTCTTGGATGTTCCCAGACACGGATTCTCATCAAGTCCCTAAACGCACAATAGCAAGCCGAATTTGCAAATCCACACATGGCACAGGTCCCATGCAATCCCAAGCATACCTGTCTTCCTGCCGCCTCGGCCCCCTTGTCTCTACAGTAGCACGGACGTAGGACAGAGAACCTTTTACAGGAAAGCATTGCAGCAGGCGCTTGCAAGCTCGGCCTTCGGCAGCGCTGTGGTCATCGTCGTTCATTTGAGCTCACTGGACAGCTGGTCTGTGGATGCCGAGGTCACAGGGCGCGGGCTGCCTAGATCTGTTCTCTTCTTAAGCCTTAACCGCACCTGCGTTTGGAGCTTTGACAGAGGATCTTGCAGGGCATTCCCGATGAGACATCGGGTCCAGGACGCAATGTCCTGTGTGTTAAGGTGACTGTGTTCGAGTGGTCATGACAAGTTGCAACACTCCTTCAGCCTATGGCGTTGAGCATCTGTGCAGAGACTAGCTGCGTTGGGGGGGAGACTACCATGATGAGCACTCTTAATGCGAATTCTACACGAAGGTGCTTCCCATGTCCATCAGCACTTGGCAGGTAGCCTTCAGCACTGAGCCAGGAGTTGGACCGGACCGATCGGCGGGTACATCTCTACAAGCCTCCAAGTATTCCCTTGATGCCCTGACCCTTGGAGACCGTTGATTTGCTGCCCGCTGCCCGTGACACATCGCTAGAGCAGTGCGTCCGTTGCATCTGTGTAAGAAGACCATGGGACGTAAGACACCTTCTTGAGCAAGCAATGCAGCATGTTGCCTGCTTACTGCTTACTGCAGTTGCCAGTTCAGACCACGATTGAGGCCAACCCTTTTTGCATCCAAAGGCCTCTTAATTTGAAGGATGGAGGGCGACACTGGATCGTTTACAGTCATGGCGCATGTCCGAAGGAGGGAGAATCTCGAGGCTGCTATGCGCAAGACACCTTTTGCACCACCACGGTATGATACCAACCCCAAAACAAAACGCACGGAATCCTTACCTGAATCAGTCCTCACCCTCTCCCAAAAGCAGCCAACTCTAAGTCTAACTGTCCGGTTGGGACGTTTTCCGCTTTGCTCCGAAGAACGGGTCGTGGCCAAAGCCGAAGGATCACAGGTTGGCATCCCGGGCTGGCATCATCAGCGAGAAGTTTACTTTGACCTGAAGCCGTCAGGTCAAGCTTGAGAACCTCATTTTTGTCCGAAGCTTGGGAGATTTGCATCAGACACCAAACTCAATTTCGAGCTTAACCATGTTGAGGGCTTCGGATGGCTACGGGAAACGTGAGATACTGTAAAAGAAATGGGTGGCACTCCCCGTGCATTCGATTCAACTCTCGTCAGCTCTTCAATTCTAATCTCTGGTCCATGCCCAATCTGAAAACTTCTGAGTTTAGGGTTTAACAGATGTTTAACAGCCTCACCCGCCCCCTCCCCCGGAACCCCCCTGCTTTCGGGTCCACTAAACAAACGGCCTTTGGCTGTGCGGAATGGCAGTATGGGGGGGTTGATGTCTGCTCTCAACTTCTTTCTGGACCCGAGTCTTGCCAGCAGGAAAGGAATCGCCAATCGCCAACATCCTCGCATGAAGCTGCCCCCCCCCCCTCCCCCTGCTGTTCCTGGAGTCTAAAACTAAACCCATCTACAGCCCTAGGCCCGAAACCCGTCATCTTCTCGCCCTGCGACTTCTCTCGTCTTCACGATGTAAGCGCCGGCGGAATCCTGAGACATGTAGAAACAACTCAAGACTCAGGTAACAGAGTAATCCTGGTGTACCTGCTGTTTTGAATTTGATAATTACCAAATGTCAGTGCATACACAAAAGAGAAGTGATCAGCAGCTTGCTTGGACAAATCACACAACCTTGACGTTCGCGAAA